ATAAATCTGTCAAGATATATTACCAAATATACTGAAACTATTATCATAAATCTGTCAAGATATATTACCAAATATACTGAAACTATTATCATAAATCTGTCAAGATAAATTACCAAATATACTGAAACTATTATCATAAATCTGTCAAGATATATTACCAAATATACTGAAACTATTATCATAAATCTGTCAAGATATATTACCAAATATACTGAAACTATTATCATAAATCTATCAAGATATATTACCAAATATACTGAAACTATTATCATAAATCTGTCAAGATAAATTACCAAATATACTGAAACTATTATCATAAATCTGTCAAGATATATTACCAAATATACTGAAACTATTATCATAAATCTGTCAAGATATATTACCAAATATACTGAAACTATTATCATAAATCTGTCAAGATAAATTACCAAATATACTGAAACTATTATCATAAATCTGTCAAGATATATTACCAAATATACTGAAACTATAATCATAAATCTATCAAGATAAATTACCAAATATACTGAAACTATAATCATAAATCTGTCAAGATAAATTACCAAATATACTGAAACTATTATCATAAATCTATTAAGATATATTACCAAATATACTGAAACTATTATCATAAATCTGTCAAGATAAATTACCAAATATACTGAAACTATTATCATAAATCTGTCAAGATATATTACCAAATATACTGAAACTATTATCATAAATCTATCAAGATAAATTACCAAATATACTGAAACTATTATCATAAATCTGTCAAGATATATTTACTATTCCTGGCAAAAACGAAAACAATATTTTGAGAAGTTATAGTCATCTATTCAAGTAACATACTTGTATTGTTTCTAACTTTTTATATTAGGAAACAATTTCTTTTATAGATACAAATAGAATTCAACGATTTCAGTGATTGTTGTTAAAAATAAAAACCAAAGTGAAAGTGTTTGTGTTTCGTGTTCACCAATTTGATTTTGGAAACTTTTTTTCCTAAGGCTGACCTGGTCTGATGATCAGCGGGTGAAATAAACTCCTTTAGGATCAAATTAATTCTATTACATCACTCTATATAATATCATGACTTTAGGTGTCTGGGTTGGTATCAAATCTATTTATTTTATTGATAAACTATTGTCACTTGTAAAACAACCTATTATTGTGTCTGTCAACTTAACTATTATGTCCAGATTGATAACATATTAACTTAATATTACAAGGCTTAGGGTATTTTTGAAACATTACAGAAAGGATTAAATTTTAAAAAAGTCATGGTGATTTCAAAGTTGATGTCACTGTCAGTGCCAGCCCCCTCCCCCAACCCCGGACATAAACCCGGCTCCACCACTGGTCACTGTTAGTGTTATTGTTAGTGTTGTTGTTAGTGTTGAATTATATTCAGGGTAATATGGAAACAATTTCAGCTGACCTGACATTTTTGTCAAAGATAACAACCTTAATAAAGAATTTGATTTAAGAAATTTGTGAAGTCCTGAAAACTCTGTCTAGAAAAATATTATTAAAACAGATATATTGAAAGGCTTCCAGAATGTGCATACTTTAGACTAGCTATATAGAAAAAAATATTTATCAGACTCTCTGTTATATAATCCCTAGTAATCTTATTAAATTTATATGTCTGTGAAATATGAGAGTGAATTATTGTTGTCATGGGAATTGCCTCAAATCCATTCTTCAAGAAAATATTTTGTATATAATACTTAGTAAGAAATAGCTACTAAAAATATGATTAGAGACAACATTCCCCTTTTTTCTATTTTATTTATATTTTCCCTATACGATATATTCTATTTAGACTTCTGATTTAACCCCTTCAGAAATTGTTCTATTTGGACTTCTGATTTATTCCCTTCAGAAATTGTTCTATTTGGACTTCTGATTTAGCCCCTTCAGAAATTGTTCTATTTGGACTTCTGATTTAGCCCCTTCAGAAATTGTTCTATTTGGACTTCTGATTTATTCCGTATAGAAATTGTTCTATTTGGACTTCTGATTTATTCCCTATAGAAATTGTTCTATTTGGACTTCTGATTTATTCCCCTCAGAAATTGTTCTATGTGGACTTATGATTTATTCCCTATAGAAAATGTTCTATTTGGACTTCTGATTTATTCCCTTCAGAATTTGTTCTATTTGGACTTATGATTTATTCCCTATAGAAATTGTTCTATTTGGACTTCTGATTTAGCCCCTTCAGAAATTGTTCTATTTGGACTTCTGATTTAGCCCCTTCAGAAATTGTTCTATTTGGACTTCTGATTTATTCCGTATAGAAATTGTTCTATTTGGACTTCTGATTTATTCCCTATAGAAATTGTTCTATTTGGACTTCTGATTTATTCCCCTCAGAAATTGTTCTATTTGGACTTATGATTTATTCCCTTCAGAAATTGTTCTATTTGGACTTCTGATTTATCCCCTTCAGAAATTGTTCTATTTGGACTTCTGATTCATTCCCTTCAAAATTTGTTCTATTTGGACTTCTGATTTAGCCTGTTCAGAAATTGTTCTATTTGGACTTCTGATTTATTCCCTTCAGAAATTGTTCTATTTGGACTTCTGATTTAGCCTGTTCAGAAATTGTTCTATTTGGACTTCTGATTTTTATAGATTTTGTTATATACACTTATAGAAACTTGATATGAAAACTATTCTTTGTTTTACACAGTTATAGAAAGTAGGTTTTGTTTTATACACTTATAGAAACTGGGTATGGAAACTAGGTTTTGTTTATAGGCTTTGTTTATATAGTTATGAAAACTTGGTATAGTATAGAAACTAGGTTTAGTTTACAAAGTTATATAAAAGAGGTATAAAAATTAGGTTTTGTGTATAGAAACTTTGTTTTAGTTAAAGATACAGTTATAGAAACTATGTGGTCTATAGTATATATTATATTAAATAGAATTAGAGCTTAACAAATGAATTATCTAGAGAATTGATAGTTTTATTATTTATTCTATTATTGATCAGGTAGAACTGTTTAGAAAGTTAGAGAGGCTGAACAGATCCAGAAACAAAACAATTGCCAGAATAATTCTATTTTCTTTCTTCTTACACCCAACATAATTTCATTTTCAAAATGTCTTGTTAGCTGTTTTTCTTTGAATTATATATTGTTTAAGAAGTTGTCGATGAGTTGACTTTTATTTTCAATCTGGCATTTCTATTTACTGTAATTCATGTGATTTTGAATTTAAAGGGACAACGACCATTCGTCTTAGTCTCAGAAACTGAATTTTTTTTAGCTTAGCCTATCAGAAATAGTCTTTACAGCTCAACTTCAAAATTTGTGTGTCAAGAAATTTTATAATTGACGACTCGTGCCCTACCATTTGTATTGTTATTTAGTTAAACTACCAAAACACAACTTGTCAACAAAAACAATTTTACATTCTAGCCTGGAATCTTCCTGTCAGATTTAAATATTTTGATTTCACACCTTTTCTAGTCGCCATTCTGTCGCCATCTTGTCTTGGCTACCGTCAAATTTTACCAATTTTCTCTACAAATCCCGGAACGATTTAATGAGATTATCGGGGGTTATTCCAAATATTCTGCCAAGATATGGATGCAATTGATTACTTATTTGATTTACTGTATATAAATATGTCTGATTGCTACATTTGCTGCCTACATCTACATCTATTTAGGTGAGAAAAAAAACAATATCTTTCCTGGATTATCTGATCCTTTCCTAAGCCATCTGATATTAGAACTCATAACCACTATTTGTTCCACGTAAACAAGCAAATGATGTCATGTATTGTTTTCAATGCTCATATCAACTGTGATTCATATGAGGCTTACATGGTGTTGTCCAGGTTGAAAATATTCAAACAAAGGTTGGAATCATTTTGGGTATTTGATTAGTATCTTTGAGGATTGCAATTACTCTCTTGATAGTACAACACACATAGTTGTACTAATATCTTGAAGACAATGATCTTATCATTTTCATCTTTAAAAAGATATTCTGAAGCTAAATAAATTGATTTCTTTGACAATGATGAACTGAGATCATTAAGAAATAATAAGCCATGACATATTAAGAGTTCTTAGCTTGTGTTTCTATGGTTGAAGCTTGATCTTAATTGATGGTATCATTGTCTCCGTCTTTATATAATAAGACACATTCTGTCTCTCACCGACATTTTTCATAATCTTTGAAGCGATAAGTTGACTGATCTGATGTCTATCTATTGATCGGAGTTGGTCTGTAGTTCATTCAAACTGTTCATTTAGTCTTCACAATAATACCTTTCCATGAAAATAATATTCAGTTAGGACTGGAATGATTCTGTAATAGTTAAACTGTTGCCATTCTACTCTATAATCTCAATGCAAACAGCTACAAGGTATAGATTATCATTGACTAAAATACACACGCTTGATCAGAAAATCAATGATACACCATTTAAAAGGTTAAAAATGTTAGAAATTTGTATCCAGAATCAATTTTATTAAAAAAGAATGCAAGGCTAGGGAAATATTGATGTTGTAAACTGGAATAATTTGATAGCATTATAAAGTTCAGAGTTAATAGCTTTCATATTATATAGCAATATCTTCTTTAACCTTTTAAACACTTCAACTGCCATCCTAGGATATGGATTTTATATCTATTATAGTAACTTATCAAGTACCTACATTAAAACTCTTTTCAGTAAGAAATTAGTGTTGGAAAAGGTATTGATCTGTGGTGGCTGATTTAGGCCATATGATTAACTTCAAGATGTGGGACTTAAATGATGAACTTTAGCCCCTAGGAAGTGATCAAAAAAAAAATCAGGTGCACGGTACAATAAAGTCAAGATTTGGGTTGGAGTTATTGCCCATGTCAAATTGAAACATATGGGATAGATTTTTCTTTTCTTTTTTTTAATGATGAAAATTGGCGCTTATGCATCTGATGAATTTTTTTACTGTTTTGGTCTAAAATCCTCAAAGCATTGTCTTTATGAAATTTATAAAATTCGTTCTTCTCAGCAATGACTTACTTTTCAAATATTATTCATTGTGTTTTTGAAGAAAATTCAATTTCTTTTTAGAAAATCAATTTTTAATGATTCTCTATTTTAGAATTTAATGCAAGCTGCAGAAAAAGCAAGTAAGATATATGGTCCATATAATAGCCATTTACAATCCGAGGTAAGCCAGGTTCTTTTTTTCCCATCAATCTATCATCATTATCAACTCTTCTATTCTAGTCGCCTGTTCCACGCCTGTAGAGATTTAATACGTATTTTCTTTATCAGAGATTAGCTAGCTTTAAGAATTAAATTACTTTTTTTCAAATGAAATTAGATCTTTTAATGCTATCAGAAATTAATTGTTTTCTTTTGTTTCAAGCTGTTTTTCAAAGAATTTAATAAAGCGTAGACGCATGCCTGAATTCACAATCTCTTTTCTTTTTTCTTTTCTGATATTTTTTGTCTCCATTGTCATCTAACAAGTTTTCTACCACAGTCCTGAACTAATGATGTTAATATTTTTAACCAATCAAAGTGTTTCATGTAAAGCCTGTTTCTTGATAAAGTATCAATAGTGGTATAGCAAAACCCAAATATATCAATATGACAGCCTCTTCGCGTTTCCCTATTCAATAATTCAGAATTTAGAATTAGTAAAAAAAGAAACGAAATTGTAATTTATCATGAGTTATCCTTTTTGATTTTGAATTTCAACAATTGATTATTACAAAGTTGATCTATTATTTCAGGAGGTGGAATATTATAATGCCAAGAAACTAGTCAGTGATGAAGATATTGAAAATTTAAGTAATGAAACAAAAGAAGCCATCACTCACACCATACATTATCTACCTTTAAAACAAAGTCGTCCTCATAATTTTAACCCTGTTAACACCAGTGTTAGTACTATTCATGTTCCTACCAATATATATGATCAATGTAAGTATATAGAAACAAAGTCGTCCTCATAATTTTAACCCTGTTAACACCAGTGTTCTTCTTCCCAAATTTTCTTGATAAAAATTCAATGATCTCTTGTTCTATTTAAACAATTTTGAAAACTTATTTTCAGCTTTGAAGATTTTAAATGGTGTGAAATGGACTGAAAGTTTAAATGATGCGTTTATGGATAATACTCGGAATGACCCAACATTAACGTGGCAGTATTTCTGTAGTTCTGATGGTTTCTTCAGAATATTTCCAGGTAAGATTCCTCCTAAAATATACTTTTAGTGTACTGTTGCTAATTGTTAGTTTCGAGGCACTCCGTAACAGTTTTTTCTTGTAACAGGTCAATATATTCATATTCTGTAATTCAAATGTGGTTAGAGGGTTGGTTATGTCAAATAAATGGTGGCTGTGGTTTCCCTTCTTAATCGTTGTGTGACCTTAGATAAGTCATCTTCACTCATAATTCCAGCTGACATTGCAGTGAATAGGTACAGATAATCTGAGAAAGGTTGATGCCAAGAGGTTGGGCCATGGACCAGCTGGTAGACAAGATCCTTAATTGTGAACCTAAGTTGTTATCCTTGTAAAATATTGTTGTTTCTTTCTTTTTTCTTTCCATCTGAGTAGACATTGGGGAAAAAATTTGTTGTAGGGAATTTTTGGCAACCAGCTAAAGTGTTGATAGAAGTTTGACTTTACAAACTAAGATGTAGAGTAGTTTTTTAGATGTTGGTTTCTTGTGTGGATATATAAACTGTTGAAATTTGATCAGCATCATGACAGAGAAGCCATTTCCTGGCGTTTCAGACTTCAAGACAAAACCTGCTGCTAAGTAGTAATACCACTTGATGACATCGAAGATGTAAAGATGTCTGCTATGGAAGTAGATAAAGGCCTGAGATATAATCCATAATGACTGACAAGGAAGAAATTATACAGGAAATCAGCCAATGATAAGGAAATAAGAAGACTCGGTCTTTATCAATAACAATAATAATGTGACAATCTTCATGAAAAGGTCATGACTTGATTAGGTTCATCTTCAAACGACGTATTAAGTGATTGTATTAATAAAAAGTCTCTCACTCTATATTTATTTATTCAAGCCTATACTATTCTCAGTATATAGTAATAGCCTACATTTTGTCCTTTTTGGACACTCTTTCTGATGTTCTTATTGACAAAATATTTCTGATACAAAAATGTTTGATTTAAAGATGTTTTGACTTCTTGCTAACCTACAAGATGTTTTGATTTGTGCTCTACAAGATGTTTTGATATGCTGACTACAAGATGTTTTGATATTCTGACTACAAGATGTTTTGATATTCTGACTACAAGATGTTTTGATATTCTGACTACAAGATGTTTTGATATTCTGACTACAAGATGTTTTGATATGCCGACTACAAGATGTTTTGATATGTACTCTACAAGATGTTTTGATATTCTGACTACAAGATGTTTTGATATTCTGACTACAAGATGTTTTGATATTCTGACTACAAGATGTTTTGATATTCTGACTACAAGATGTTTTGATATTCTGACTACAAGATGTTTTGATATTCTGACTACAAGATGTTTTGATATTCTGACTACAAGATGTTTTGATATGCTGACTACAAGATGTTTTGATATTCTGACTACAAGATGTTTTGATATTCTGACTACAAGATGTTTTGATATTCTGACTACAAGATGTTTTGATATGCCGACTACAAGATGTTTTGATATTCTGACTACAAGATGTTTTGATATGCCGACTACAAGATGTTTTGATATTCTGACTACAAGATGTTTTGATATGCCGACTACAAGATGTTTTGATATGATTTTTAAATGAAATGACAATGAAGTAGATTTGGTTTAGACAAAAGATATTTGTTAACAAATGGTCTTTACTACCAGTATATTGATATTAAGCCCTACGACACTAAGCATGTATCGAGTAGCGTCTGATAAAAATCTCTTATAAAGGATCTCTTTAGATGTGAAAGTAAATATAGTGCTAGTTAATGTATTGATTACAGTTAAACCAGAAGAGATAAACTAGATTTCTTATTTATCAAAATTAAACAAAATCGTTACTTTTGTGTATTCTCCCATGATTTTTATTTTGCCTTTGAAAATAGAATCTTGCAATTTATCAAATATTGAAGATATTGAATTTTTGTCCTTAAAAATTATGCATTGTTATATATTTGAGCTACATGGAGTTTCTTGGCTTCAGGATATAAAATTGAGTCAATTTATTGATGTGTTCTCACAGATTATCTGCATACAGGTTTATAAAGTATGGAATCACAACATTTCAAATGTAAAGTATGTTTATCATCAGCTCTGACTTATTCTTGTGTAATTTTCTCTTTTTTCCCTGATGACACATCATATTTCTAAATATTAGAGCTAATTTACAACTTCAGGATATTATATTATCAATTTATGCAGATTCTACATTTGTACAAAACAATCCTTGATGGTATTTAGCCCAACAAAACTTGCCCTATTGGTACGTTTAGGCCAAGACATAAAAAGCGATGCTTTTATGGGTGTCGCTCAAATTTTGGATCTCTATTTTTGACAAATTTCACCATGACAAAAAACCCTAGTTTGGAATAACTTTTGGTAACTATAGAAACCTGAACCATTAATTCAGTTTATCAAGATATTACTGGAGATTTACCTATGCCACGGTGCCCCACAAGGTATGACAAGGGGTAGGCTGACTTTACAGTGTTGTAATAAGATATTCCAATTTGCATAGAAAGTGACACTTTATATCTGATAATAGTAATAATAATTATCAGCTAAATTATTTTACATGGGTCAGAATTAGGCCCAATACACAAGAACATGGTCCTGTCTAACATTCTAACATATTGGGGACAAACATAGACTCTTTATTTTACATGGGTCAGAATTAGGCCCAATACACAAGGACATGGTCCTGTCTAACATTCTAACATATTGGGGACAAACATAGACTCTTTATTTTACATGGGTCAGAATTAGGCCCAATACACAAGAACATGGTCCTGTCTAACATTCTAACATATTGGGGACAAACATAGACTCTTTATTTTACATGGGTCAGAATTAGGCCCAATACACAAGGACATGGTCCTGTCTAACATTCTAACATATTGGGGACAAACATAGACTCTTTATTTTACATGGGTCAGAATTAGGCCCAATACACAAGAACATGGTCCTGTCTAACATTCTAACATATTGGGGACAATATAATAAATGAATGAATGAAAAAAAAAAACCATAATACCTCGATGGACAACCTGTTTAATAAATACATGTGTATTAAATGGACAGATTATGTTGTTGTAAAGGCACCAAAATACATATGCATTAATGTAAAAAAACAAACAAACAAAAACGTGAGTCAAAAGTGCTACAAGCCCTTTACGTGCCAACATCCACATTTCGAAATATTTTTTTCAAAATATAAAATTAGATGTTTGTCTGTAATCTATATTAAACATGACAGGAGAACCTTGAGCTAATGGTTTTAAAAGTTAATTCAATCTGATACATGTATTACAATAATAACATTGGACCGACTTAATGATGGATTTTTATCTAAAAACAGGAACAGTCACATTTTATTCCATATTTTCCATTATACATCAGGATATTGCCTGGAGCCATGTAACTAGAATATATTGATAATATGATAGATGAGCTTTCAACCTCTCCCTTTGTTCTGTATAATGAAATGTTAGTTTGTTAACTTGTTTTCATTCGGTTATTATATGTTATAGGAAGGAAAAGGTTTGAAGTTCTGTATTTGAAATTTTCAATTGATTGATAGTGAACAATAGGTAACAAGTTCTTGTAATGAAAATCAGATTTGAAAAAATACTTAATAATGTCTCTAAAACTTCAAAGAATTATGATTGAGTTGGTCATTTTGTTGTTGTTAAAATGGTTTATATGATAAAACAGTCATAGATTAGAGAGTTCTTTAGTATGGCAGCACTTGAATTCTATTCCATGGCAGCACTTGTATTCGATTCCATGGCAGCACTTGAACTCTATCCCATAGCAGCACTTGAACTCTATCCCATGGCAGCACTTGAACTCTATCCCATAGCAGCACTTGAATTCTATTCCATGGCAGCACTTGAATTCTATTCCATAGCAGCACTTGAACTCTATCCCATAGCAGCACTTGAACTCTATCCCATGGCAGCACTTGAACTCTATCCCATAGCAGCACTTGAATTCTATTCCATGGCAGCACTTGAACTCCATCCCATGGCAGCACTTGAACTCTATCCCATGGCACCACTTGAATTCTATCCCATGGCAGCACTTGAATTCTATCCCATAGCAGCACTTGAACTCTATCCCATAGCAGCACTTGAACTCTATCCCATGGTAGCACTTGAACTCTATCCCATGGTAGCACTTGAATTCTATCCCATGGCAGCACTTGAATTCTATCCCATGGCAGCACTTGAACTCTATCCCATGGCAGCACTTGAACTCTATCCCATGGTAGCACTTGAATTCTATCCCATAGCAACACTTGAATTCTATCCCATGGCAGCACTTGAATTCTATCCCATGGCAGCACTTGAATTCTATCCCATAGCAACACTTGAATTCTATCCCATGGCAGCACTTGAATTCTATTCCATGGCAGCACTTGAACTCTATCCCATAGCAACACTTGAACTCTATCCCATGGCAGCACTTGAACTCCATCCTATGAATACTATCCCATGTCAAGCACTTGAACTTTATCCCATGGCACCACTTGAACTCTATCCCATGTCAAGCACTTGAATTCTATCCCATAGCAGCACTTGAACTCTATCCCATGGCACCACTCTGAATAAGACAGTTTCTATCACAGGGGTTTTCAACCTCAAAGGAAGGAAAAAACCCCAAGGGAGTCATTTTGAAATTGTTGGTGGAAATTGATATACTTTGCAGTCTAGTATAAAATTTGTGGATGTTTATAATTTAACTTCTCATTTTAAATTCTCAAGTGAAGATATTGCTTATTCTATAGCAAGTTTATTATGTCTCGTTTTACAATCATCATTACTTTACAATCAACTTTACTTTACACTTTACTTTACAATCAACTTTACTTTACAATCAACTTTACTTTACAATCAACTTTACTTTACAATCATCATTACTTTACAATCATCATTACTTTACAATCAACTTTACTTTACAATCATCATTACTTTACAATCAACTTTACTTTACAATCAACTTTACTTGCTGTCACAACTTGTGATAATTATTTTTTATGATTTTTGGGTTTTCTGAAATAAAGATGACAAACTAAACAAAAGAATTTTTTTAATTGGCAATGCAACTTGAAAATATTAGATCAAGAAACGTTAGTGTTAGACGGTGATGAGAAGGTAGTCTCATAAAAGCACTGGCCTAGGTCATAAAGTATAGACTCATGCTAATCCTATAGTATGGAATCTGAAGAATAAACTCTTATAGGTACCTATCAGAAATGAGCATACATTAATAATTAAACAAAAACAAATTTGGTAGAAAATTGCTAAAAAATCAAATCTTGACTTGTTGGTATTAAAAGATTGTTGAGGGAAGAGCCTACCATGGACTAGGATATTACTAAGATTTTTATTTCTCCTGTAAGGTGTAACAAGTCTCTTGCTGTAGACATGAGGATATTGGTCTTGAAGATGTCTATAATGACATGTGAGACATTGGCAGCAGTGTTGTTGTAACAAATGATCTGATTATCATGCTGGATAGTTAGGCCATTTGGGTGAACAGTTGAAGTTGGTCCGTCCAATAACTCTGGCGCTGCTGCATTCATGGTTCATGTTTGCAATCCTATGACACTTAAAAGCTGAATTATTTTGTCAGTTCTAAGCTGATATTAGTGGTTTTGGTATATGATGATAGTATTATAATATATATTTTACTTTCAGGAATGAAATGGCCACGAGATTCTGATAGTGTTGATACATTTGATTGTAGAGTTCGACAATGGTAAGTTTAGTCATTGACTGCCAGCAAAGCTACCACCATGTTTCAATTCAGCGAACGTGTGATACATACATACCTAGAATTCTATTGGTTAACCTTTAGGCTCGGTGTTGACAAAAATCATTCAAGCACTCAGCATGATAATGCACTTCCAGACACCTTTCACACTATGCCTCTTTCAGGACATGCTCTTTTTAATTTCTGCAATTTTTTATTGCTTACTTGCATGTTTCATGTGTAGCTATTTTCAAATCCAGTGCGGATGCTTATTGATTTTTTGCTGATAATCGGATATGCCTTTATATACTTCTAACATAGTATCAGATATATTTAGAATATTATGATTGAATTTCTGTTAGAACTGTATTCTCAGTGAAAAATAGTAGTTTTAAACACCACAGAGTTAGTTACTTTGTCTTAATGAAGAAACTGCAATAAATAGAGTACCTTACTTATGGTATATATGTACAAAAATAACTCAACTGGCATTAATAGTATTGAACATTGATTTCTAACTGTTTTTTATTGCAAAATGTTCGGTAATTTTGTAATTCTATAATTTGATATCTTGTTTTTCAAAAAAAAAAAGCTTAAACATACTATAAGTTTAGTTTAGTTTAGTTTTGTGTTTTGTGTTGTGTTGTGTTGTGTTTTGTTTTGTTTAGTGTTTAGTGTTTTATGTTTAGTGTTTTGTGTTTTGTGTTTAGTGTTTGTTTTGTTTTGTTAATATATTCCTTTTTTTATTTTATTTTTTATTATGTGCACTCCGAACTTCTACATATTGTCAGATCTTGTTTGATATTATTCATCTGAATTCTAAATGTTATTTTAACACCATTACAGGTATATAGAAGCAGCTACATCCAGAAAAAATATAATTATATTATTAGATGCTAGTGGGAGTATGAAAGGTTTACGTATGGAAATAGCCAGGAATACTGTAGATAAAATACTACAAACCTTCAGTAATCATGATTATTTCAATATATTAGAGGTTAGTCAATAATTACTGTATAGATTATTATAGATTATATTATCTTGTCAACCAATCTAGAAATAATCTTTATGGCCTGTGACTAGTGTTAAGTATGCGAATAAGTTTAATGTAAAAAATATATCAATTGAATTTTTAGATTGAAGTACGGTAGGTTTAATTAAAATGGGAAGTCAATTTCAGTAGGTTCATTTAAAAATTGAAATTAATCAAGTCAATTTACAGTTTCTATAATTGAAATGTGAAGTCAATTTACAGTTTCTATAATTGAAATGTGAAGTCAATTTACAGTTTCTATAATTGAAATGTGAAGTCAATTTACAGTTTCTATAATTGAAATGTGAAGTCAATTTACAGTAGGTTAATTCAAAATGTGAAGTCAATTTACAGTAGGTTCAATTTTGAAGTCAATTTACAGTATGTTCAATTGAGAAGTCAATTTACAGTAGGTTCAATTGAGAAGTCAATTTACAGTAGGTTCAATTGAGAAGTCAATTTACAGTAGGTTAATTTAAAATGTGAGGTCAATTTACGGTAGGTTCAATTGTGAAGTCAATTTACAGTAGGTTCAATTGTGAAGTCAATTTACAGGATGTTGAAAAATTACATTCAATACAAATTGTGAAAGTTGTTGGATAGTGTATTATATGAATGTTTGATGAAATTGCTAGCTTGTGTACATTACAGACAATCTTCACATTGCATTATTAATAGTTAGCTGAGGTAAGATAAAGAAAAACTAATTAAGTTGATTACTGTGTGAGATAGAAATAGAGATATATTGTAATGGAATATTCTGTTTGTTAGATTTAATTGAATTCTATATATGTAGTTGTGGTGTTATTTTTAATCAGACTGGTAGCAGGTTAGATATTGAAATGTTAATAAGTATGCACAGTTCATAATCTGATATATTTTGTATATGAGGGTTGGTGAAAAAGTTTGAGGCCTACTTAACTGATGATTATTGGACTTAGATAACTATATATCAGAGTGTAGCTTATTGTGTTTCTACTGTATTTCAAACTTTCAAATAACCTTTCGTCCAGACAGACACCTTTATACCACAAAATTCATCCAGAAAATAAGAAAGTTGAGTACTAAGGTGTGATAAAGTATTTGACCTTGGAAGGAATTGCCCTCAAGGTAATCAAGGTGATGGTCAGTCCCTAGTGGCAAAGGCTATGTTGACAATAATGATCTGAAAGCTGTGAACAAGGTTTTTAGAGTCTCCTGAAGTTTTTCAGGAATTTGTAGCCTTTGCATTGGAAATGATGAGAAGTGTATTTATTTAAGAAAGGTGATAAACCAGTAAATGATTTCACAGCTGAGTGTTTTATCTTTGAGCCTAAAACTTTTTGACCGACCCTCATATTTACAAATCTGTAGCTATGTATGTAAATTTATAGGTTGATTTTAGTTTAAGGGGATGTATTCCAATAGATATTCACTTTATCAGTTATTGGAATACAACTATAGTTATCTATAACATTCTTCAGAATCAAATAGAAATTTCAGATTTATGAATTTGCTTTTGAAATAAACACACACACTTCTCTCCCAGATATTTATTTTGAAAATTACTTATTTTTGTGAGTGAGAGAAATCAGAATGTCAGTCTAAAAACTGTAGTTTGTTAATTCACACGATTTTTGTCTTCAAATTAATTATGTTTATAAATTTATTAACATTATTTTTTCAGTTCTCAGAAAAAGTATCTTATGTAGACCAGTGTTTTAATCGAACGTTGATGCAGGCCAACGCAGACAATATCAAACGTGTTCAAGAGAAACTGAAAGCAACAGAAACATCTTACATTGCCAATTTTGAACGAGCATTAGTTGAAGCGTTTGAATTATTTAGAAATGTAAGTGATATTGATATGTGTTTTAAATGTTAGAATTAGCCTGCAGACTGACATGCCATGTTGTAACTTGCTTTAATGTTCCTGGAATTTTCTTTCAACCACATAGAAAGACAAAGTCAGAGTAAATTAAATTGTGAGAAAGTTCCGATCTTATTAATAAAGTTATTATAGAAGAGTTCTGTTTTTAACTCTGTAAATGTCAAGTGTTATTTAGTATAAGATCTAAGGCAAGTAGAATTCTTGATTCGAGCATTGTGGGGTTTTATGGCATAGTGGGTTCTTAACATGACATTATTTGATTGGTTATGTCAAATAAATGGTGGTTGTGAGTTCTAAACTCAATCAGCGTGTGAAAGTCCAATGACATTTAATAAGTCATCTTCCCTCATAATTTCTTTTTTTGATTGAATCAAATTCTCTAATATGATGGATATTTCCCAGGAACATGAATTATTTTTGTGTGATTTTGATAACTATATTTTGATAACTATATTTTGATAACTATATTTTGATAACTATATTTTGATAACTATATTTTGATAAACCAACTGAAATATGTGACATGCTCTGTTAGCAAGAGTTTATGCGTAGGTTGTAGGTGTTGTGATAAATACAGTAATTAAAGTATAGTGAAAGAGATTGTAAGGATGTTCTCTAAATTTCTACGTGTATTAGGGACACTGAAAGAATTGCGTTGCCCCATTTCAATTTTCAGTCAATCTTGCAATTCCACCTAAACTTGACATTTTATGACATCGTTATTGTAAAGGTCTTTAAATTTGAGATAAAATGCAAGAACCACAGACGTCTGACTAAAAATTGAAATGCTCTCAGTATCCATGATGTGGAAAACCTCTTTACAATCCCTTTAATTATTCTTCAATTGCTGTATTTATCAAATGATATTTCTGTTTTGGCACCTATCCCTTTAATACTAATGAAACGAATGCTACATCTTTAGGAAGAGAAGAAGAAGAAATTTGATCTGTGTAATAAAGCTATTATGTTAGTAACTGATGGTGCAACAGAGAATTATGAGTGGATATTTGATCAATATAACTGGCCTGATAAAGCTGTAAGTTTGTGTCATCATGTGAGGTGATCAAACCTTTTTGGGGTCATTTTCAGCTTTGACTGCAATTTTATTAAAATTACATTACAATTTGGTTTCTTTGTTATTTTTTGTTGGTCTCAATTGTACTCTAACAAGATTTATACCAAGGTTGCCCACTGATATTTATTTCAACAAATCACAGTGTGTCATGCAGAATCTGAATATAGACTGTGAACAGTGGGACAGGGAAGCCCAGAGTAGAGACTGACGATACTCGCTTGTAAAAGTGATTCTGATTGGCTGGAGAATGGCGCCTCATTGTCCATAAACAAAGTCACAAGAATGTGACCTTGGTATAAATCTCGTTACAATGGAGACCGACAAAAATGATAACAATAAACGGAAATTGTGATCTAATTTTAATGAGATTGTTTCGATTAGTTCCAAGTCTTTAGTACAAATAATAATAATGATAATTATAAAATCTTTAACGGACGCATGGCTGGCTGAAATCTTGTAGTCCAGGTTTGTGTGTATAATTTGACTGATTAGAATATTATATAATAAACTATTGATTGATAATATGTAAACACATTAAAATATAATTACCACAAGAAGTTATGATATTAATGTTATAGGTGTAGTATTGTCAATATATTAACTCAGTTAAACATTATTAGTTATTATGTTATATATTTTTATTGTTGAATGGTTCTACAATTTTAGTAAATTTACAAAAACAGCTTTTATTGAGAGAATGAGAATATAACTAAGTAATCAACCATAGGAGGCTGACTGACATACTAAGTAATCAACCATAGGAGGCTGACTGACATACTAAGTAATCAACCATAGGATGCTGACTGACATACTAAGTAATCAACCATAGCAGGCTGACTGACATACTAAGTAATCAACCATAGCAGGTCGACTGACATACTAAGTAATCAACCATAGGAGGCTGACTGACATACTAAATAATCAACCATAAGAGGCCAACTGACATACTAAGTAATCAACCATAGCAGGTCGACTGACATACTAAGTAATCAACCATAGCAGGCCAACTGACATACTAAGTAAACAACCATAGCAGTCTGACTGACATACTAAGTAATCAACCATAGCAGGCTGACTGACATACTAAGTAATCAACCATAGCAGGCCGACTGACATGCTAAGTAATCAACCATAGCAGGCCGACTGACATACTAAGTAATCAACCATAGGAGGCTGACTGACATACTAAATAATCAACCATAAGAGGCCAACTGACATACTAAGTAATCAACCATAGCAGGTCGACTGACATACTAAGTAATCAACCATAGCAGGCCAACTGACATACTAAGTAAACAACCATAGCAGTCCGACTGACATACTAAGTAATCAACCATAGCAGTCCAACTGACATACTAAGTAATCAACCATAGCAGTCCAACTGACATACTAAGTAATCAACCATAGCAGGCCAACTGACATACTAAGTAATCAACTATAGCAGGCCGACTAAGATGTGCCTATTAAGAATTTGCAGATTCTGAACTCTGAAATCTGAAAAAGGCAATACCACTATCCTACAACAAATATTTGATATTTCAGGTATTTATCATCTTTTAAAACAATCTATAATTGATTATGTTTCTACAGGTTCGTGTGTTCACTTTTCTTATCGGTCGTGAAGTATCAGATACAAGACAAGTAAAATGGATGGCCTGTGCTAATAAAGGTAATACAATATCATTCTTGACATTTCACTTTTCTAAATTTATTTCACACACGTTTTTATTTCTTTAGGCAGAATATTGGAAATATAACACCCACTTCCTTATTATCTTCAATAGAATGAAATGGGAATACAAAGTGTAAATTTGTATATAATACATTGTATTAAATTTCAATTAAATAAAACTATTAAAAATACATTGTATTAAATTTCAATTAAATAAAACTATTAAAAATACATTGTATTAAATTTCAATTAAATAAAACTATTAAAAATACATTGCATTCCATCATAGAATAAAATGTAATCATAAAATGACAATTGAAAATTTTTTGAAGAAGTTTAAGAGCAAATAGCTTTTAAAATTTAATGTCTAACGCAAAAAGGACACTCTTAATTATTTTCTGACCAAGGTGTTAACACGCGATTAATGTATTTGCCAATGATTGTTATCTGTAGCCAAATTATTTATATTTTTTGTTTAAATTTATTATAATTTCAGGTCACTATGAACATATATCTACTAGAGCTGATGTACAAGAAAATGTTCAGGTAATATATTTACTATGATAACTGAAGATATCAATATATTTTGTCTCCAGAAGAAATCATACTCAGTTTCTTTCAATAAATAAATACAGTAGTGACCAACTAGTATATAAAATATATATATTTTGATGTTCACATTACTTGGGTTTGATTTATCAATATGCTCATTTTCAACATTTAAGGAAATTTCACCATGAGGGAATAGAGCAGCAATCGAACTAATGGTTTTCCTAAGATGCCAACTCCAGCTTGTTCCTTGTCCTCACAAAACCTATACTCAAATTTCTCATTGGATGTAGGATATTATATTTTTCAATAAAATTGCAGAGACAAAACCTTTGGGTCATCGGATGGTCGATACAATTAGTCAGCCCGTGGGTCCATGGGTTTTGTAGTTTCTGGGTATAGCTAAACAAACAGCAGTAAATGAGTTTATATTGATCTCAATGATTGGAAAGAAAGAAAGAAAGAAATAACTATATTTTACAAGGATAACAACTTAGCTAAACCTCTTTGTATTGATCTTTACCGGATTATCCGTACCCATTTACAGCTGGGTCTACTTAAATAAGACTTATTCATGGTCACCGGACTGTCACACACCGATCGAGATTGGAACCCACATCCACTATTCGCTTGACGTAACCAAGCAAATGTCATGGAAAGAACCGACTATACAACCTGGTAAGACAGAAGTAAATGATAATTAACAGATAGAGAGTTGTAGTATATTGTAAATATATATTTCAGCAATATGTAAAAATACTCAGTCGACCGATGGTACAAGAAAAATATCACAATATGATATGGACTCCAGTATATCTAGATTATCCTACAGAACATGTTCAAACAGAGGTAAGATCAATTGTTCCCATTTCATCCACCAGAAATATTAAACTGATGAAAGAGTGGGTCCACGCCATATAGTGTGATATTTAGCCATGATATCAACATTAGCCTTTTCGATATTCTACTCTTATAGTACATTTATCGAGACTTGGTTATTGTTTAATTGAATGACTAGACTTGTTAGGTCTTTAGAAATAGCAAATTATAGTTGAAAGTACTATAGTCAGTCCATATTTTACTATAGTGTTAAACAAAGATGCCACCTTTCATATCTTCATGTATCAGGTGCCTGTGCAGTTTGCTCAAATCTTTTTAACAAATTGACAAATGTCATTATCATAATGAATTCATGTTAACTGGTATGTTACTGTACTGACTGAGAGAATTTAATTGTGTTTTAGGGACTAGGGTTAATGACTTCAGTGGCTATTCCTGTATTTGATGGAAGAACAAAAGTGGTAAGAAACTTTATCTAACATTAGTTTTTGTAATGTGGAACAATGTGCAACTGCAAGTCATAGAAATGTTGTAAACCCAATATGAGAAAGAGAACGTCCACCTTTAACCATTTCCAACTTGCAACACAGAATATTTCAAGGCAGTTTTTCAAGACAATCTTTTTAGAAAATGAAGTCAACTTTTATGTGAAGTCATTAAGTGAGCAATTTTTTGAACAGCAAGATTTAAGAGAATATCAGAGTCAGATAAGAGACAATGTTGATCCACCTTGAGTATCTATGGTAATGGACGTTACTTGGCTATTGAAATTGTGGTAGAATGCTATTATTGCCCTGTTGAGTTATATAATGACTATAAATAACTTGTAGAGTGAAGGAGAAGAAGATCCAGCTACTAATTTATTAGGTGTTGTAGGAACAGATTTACCTATAGATGTTATTAAACGATTTGTTCCTGATTCTATGGTAGGTTTTTTTCATTCAATTACAAATATACTAACATGTGAGACCTAACTTCAAATCTTGAATCTACCGCGTCAGTCTTGCTTTTTTCAAATGTTTTTCAACGTCCAAGAAGAGCTTCCTATTCACCATCGTGTATTTGCTGTCATTTTCTGAAACTCATCTTCAAGTTAACAGATTTTATGATATTAGAAGGTTAAAGACCTCTTAGTGACAAGAGGGATAACCTCTTGCTGATTTGCTCAAGTTGTATTGATGCGGGTGTTTTCACTAGCTTGTCTTGTCTTGCGCTTAACCAACAGTAATTTGTCGACATCTCTTGAATTTTCCATTTTTAGTCTCTGAATATAGTTTCCCATCTTATGACCAGCATTTGTATTGATCATTTATATTGATGAGACATTGAAGTGATTTGTATTTGACATTTTTTGGATGTATTTGAGTTATTGCCCTTGACTTAAAAACACGCATCAAAATTTTGTGTTTTGTTTCATGAACACAATAGAGACTACAGTTTTTATCCGATTTTAATGAAATTTAGTGTGATCATTTATATTGATTAGATCTTGAACTGATTTGCATTTGACAATTTTTCCATGAATATCTTTTGAGTTATTGCCCTTGTCTCTATAGAGACTGTAGTTTTTATCTGATTTTAATTAAGTTTGATTATTTATATTGATGAGATTTTGGTCTATTTCAAATTTGAAGATTTTTCGATAAACAATTTTTGAGTTATTGCCCATGATTGATAGAGCAGAGTGATTTGATGATTTGATTTGATGTTTTGGGGTTATTGTTATTGATTTTGAAAAATATTGTGGAAAAACTCACCAAAAATAACTGACAGTAGACATATATATATATAAATAAATTCAAACTACAAATGAATTATGAAGATCTTTAATATGAGAAAATTCATAATTTAGTTATTATTAGATTTTACTTCTATCTTTTATTACAGCTTGGTGTTAATGGATATTCTTTTGCAACAACTAACAATGGTTATGTTTTATTTCACCCATATTTTAGACCTTTTGTAAGTAAATCATTAATGTTATAATGAAAAATTGAAAATAATTCCACTATTACTGAAATGGTCACATGTTATCACAAGCTGGTCTAGACCTGGAAAGTAATACTTTATTACGGCATGGGCCCCGTTTCTCTAAAGTGTGTAAGTTTACGCCAAAATATTACACTTACTATAATCTTACGTAAATTCTTACGCGTGTTTCACTAACAAACTGGGCTATTGGTCATTCGTAGCACCCCTTGTAAAAACCAAACAGTTGTTTTCAATCATTTAATCAAAGTTGATTATCTTGATGGGCTGATCAATGAAATTTCTAATTGTACCTTATTTTTGATTTAGTATGATGTTGAGATAGAAGAAGCTTTAGATCCATATTTCTATAAGTTAGATATAGTACAAGATTTTGTAGATGTCATTAAAGAACCACGACCGAATTATAACAGTGTAGATTTATCTAAGGTTGAAATGGCGTTAGATATTGACCAGTTTAATCAGGTATATTCTTTTAACCAACCATCTTCAAAATGTTACAAACTTTGTCTAATACCTTGACATCAATAGGCACTTTTCTGGTATCACGGAAGTTTGTGATTTGATTGGATTGTATGCTACCAAATACAGCCAATATGACTCCAAACAGTCTGGATGTGCTTGTATTAAAGAAAATAGTAAATGACACGTAAAAGAAAAGTGCGTAACAGCGGCCAGATTTTACTATAATATAACTAAGATATCATCCAGGGTGATATTTTTTGTAAAAGTGGAGCCAAGGGATCACTTGGACCAAGAAATTAGAATTACATCTAATATCAGTACAATATCTTCTTAAGTCATTTATAATTATTTACTAGGAAAAATGATCTGAAAACATCAATAGACATACCCGTACTTTATATAATATACGATTTTGAGAAATTTTGACTATGCATGTGAACATGTAAAAAAAAGAGGTGACTGAACAATGAACATGTATTTATATTGATAGTTACGTAATGGTATGAGAGGACCACAATCTGGATATTTACCAATGAATGTTACAGCTTATGTTGATAATATGGTAGGAATATTATATTTTTAATTCATTTCTTCTGAAAAGTGAATACAAACAATGGACAACTCTAAAACTACTTGCTGCAGCACCCAAACACTTGTAAAAGATACTTTGACAACTGTCATCATCTGTGCATAAAATTTGACAGATTTTGACTAAACTTGGATTGAGTGTTTGTTTTTACCCAAGGATGAACCCTATTGAACATCAGAAAAATCTAAAAATTCTTAGCATGAGTTATTGCCCTTGTGGTTGTATTTGACCTTGCCTAGCAAACTATCTTCATGTTTAGTTTAATGTGAATTGTTGTAATCATTGAATAATATTTATTTTCTTTAATTATTTTATTTTGTAGAAAAGAGCTGATATGAGAGAGAATTATTATTATTTTTGTTCTGTTAGAGATACTATCAGGTAATGTATTAGTTATATTATATATGAATATTGATATAGCTAACTTGTTAATTTCAATAAACAGAACCAGGTTTTTAAGATTTTGATTTTATAAAAGTCAAAAGCTGTGGATACTACTGTGGAGGCCAACACAAATATGATTTGAAATATGTTTATCTACTTGCACCCTTAACTTGTTTATCAATCATTGTGTTGAAAACCTACATGTCCTATGATAAACAGTATAGCTTTGAAGGATGAGTGTTGCTTCTTAACAATTGTCTGAGTAAAGTAAAAGTTTTTTGAATTTTGATTGAGACCAGTATATTGAATTATTTCTATTTATTTCATTGCTTTATTGTATATAGCCTTGTGTATAAGTTTATAATTGTTGCTAGATCCAGCTGTTGACTATCAGCCTTGAAAATTATCATGACTTCCTCTGACTTCAACCGTTAGAATCATATATAAAATGACAGTCTAAGATCTAAACATAAAATAGTTCTCCCAATCCAATTGGTACAATAATTTTGATTGTGTACATTGTCTTGGCAAGTAGATCTATATTAAATGTACTAATTGTTTCTCTGTTGAATATTGATTATAATAGATCTATTATGTTTTTCTCTAATGACATTTAGATATTAATGATAAATCATCTGTATATATTTTTTTAGTTTGGCATTTGTGATACCTAAAGGGTATGGTGAATATCGACTGAAAGCACAGAAAAATATCAATCCTTCAGGTTAGATTCTATCTAGATCTCATGTTTTTATATATCATAGTGATACAGCAAAGCTCTCCACAAACAAATTCAACATTTTTTTATACATTTTTGCCCTAAAATATGTGTCAGAAAGCACCTTCATTTCTATTTTTCAAAAATTTTCTTGTGAGAAGATCCATACAGAGGCTTGTGACTATGACACCTCCATGGAGTTGACTTATTTTAGATTCAGTCTTGATAGTTTCCCCCCCACGGAGTCAGTTTGCCCATATTTGTGACACCAGTAATGAAAATGGCAATACAGCTATGATAAATGGCAATACAGCTATGATAAATGGCAATACAGCTATGATAAATGGCAATACAGCTATGATAAATGGCAATACAGCTATGATAAATGGCAATACAGCTATGATAAATGGCAATACAGCTATGATAAATGGCAATACAGCTATGATAAATAAAAATGGCAATATAGCTATGATAAATGGCAATACAGCTCAGGTCCCAAATTATACTTCTTTGTGTCCAATCTTAATGATTTCTGAATTTTTAACACAATGTTTTTTATTTGTCAATTTATGGTTGTTTCAATGAATTTTATAGTCTACCCAATACAAATATTATTTATCATGGTCATCTTCATCAGTCTTCACCCGGAAAGAAAAAACCCATGATAAAAATACCTACAAAAAAAAATCTTTTGAAAAACTAAAACATTGTTTTCTCTTTTTCAGATAGTGAATATTTAAAACCATCTTCAGTTCATGTTGCATCATGGTCAGTAAAAATATATCATTCTTTCATTATTTCATATAAAATAAATCTATATTACTAATACAATCGCTATGGAAACAATAGTTATCCATAAGAATCTTATATATAATTTACAAAAAGTGACAAACTTTAAAAGTGCAAAAATGGAAAATGGTTTGATCTTTTACCAGTCAGTCCTGCTTTACATGTATTGTTATATTTTGGATAAATTGTTTGTCTGTTTTAGTATACATTGTTTGTCTGTTTTAAGATACATTGTTTGTCTGTTTTAGGATACATTGTTTGTCTGTTTTAGGATACATTGTTTGAATCCACTAGGTGGTTTAGAAGCTGTTAATAAGAAATATATAATAGACTATATTACCAGTAGTAACTATGTAACATCTGATGATTGTAAGTTATTATGTTTCAACATTTTCATATTAAATCATATATTTCATCATATCATCATACCTTCAATTCTAGGACAAAATTCAATGTCTGAGGTACTATTCAGAATTTTGGAAAGAAAATGCAATGCACTCATTCGTCCAAAACAAAGATTAATCTTTTCACATAATTATATAATTAAACTCTTCTCACTTTGAAGTCCTGAAAGGGTCAGATACATGACTTTCAGGCATTGTTTTCTGTCTGGAATATATGTCAATAGTTTCCAGAAGTATAAGAAATGTACAATAATCACATAATTCCTTTAAAGATAACTAGGAATTTTACTCACTATTTCTATAGATGTCTTTTCTATATATCACAGTGTCTCAAGAAAACTCATTTTAACGCAGATAATTCTGGATTTTAGCTCACTCAAATTTTGACTGTGAACTATGAACACTATAACTGATTAGCGCAGCTAAAAAATCCTGTCTCTGGGACTAAGGGACTTGGTCAAACGGATGGCGAATCTGTCCCTTTAAGCAATAAAGGAATTGTAAAGAGGTTTTCTTAATTTTTTGATGTGTATTGTGGACACTGATATCAGTGATACATATTTTGTGGTTGGTGACGTCATCAAGAGCAGTAAAGTTTCATTGTTGGAACGAAAGTCTATTTCTTACTGTAATTATACTATCAGGTGACAGAGAAGAGATTATCAATCTGGTATTAGATGCTAAAGATACAGCTATGTATGAAAAAATTTGGTCTGGTTTGTCTACAATTAAAGCAAGAGATAGACCATATTCTTATTCTGTCATGTAAGTAATAAATACAATTCATTGCTTCTTGAGGTTTTGCACTGGATTTTGCACAAAAATGGCTGTTAAGTTATGAATGCAATGATAATACTGCTACAAGTCTAGGATTTCACATTCTTTTATTTTATTGGAGGAGAACCGAAAGTCACATTTTAATTTTAAAAAGTTATATGTATTTTTCTCTCAGATTAATACTATTCTGATTATAATTTTTATTATAGTAAAGAATATGAAGATGAATGTTATGGTATTAGAAATGAAGAAATGAAGAAAGATTGTTTTAAAAGGCTTCATTTAAAGTAAGTGCCTTCTTCCTTTCCTTGTCTTTTTCTATAAATTATCTAAAAAATTTTACCTAGTGAAAAGAAAAAAACCAATTATTTTTGACAAGGACAGATTAGCTTTAAGAGGATCTTTTGGTTCTTAACCACACTTATTACCATTGATCTTTCTTGGATTATCTGTCCCATTTACAACTAGGTATCCTGGAATAGTGAGAGATGTTGAATTATTCAAGGTCACCAGACTTTCAGAATCTGACTTAGATTAGAACCCATTAACACCACTTGTTTGACGTAACCAAGTTAAGTTATGTACTGTGCAGGGCTGTTGATTTATGTTTTTGTCAGTCGGATATTTTTCAACGACCTGTGAAATTTAATCTCAATTTCCCCTTGAGAGAAGGTCTACTATACCATGTTCTACAGCACGGGTATTGTCATGATATTTGGCAACAGAAAGTACTACTGTACTACTCTCATAATCTTTGATATTAAGTAATAAGTAAGGACTAACGTTTTAGAAACTATTAAATTAGATTTGGAATTGAATTGATATTTGTTGGAACAAGTTCTGGAATAACGAGATATGGTGTGATAGCTGAAGAACTGGACAATCCGTAAGTTCTGACCTTTAATTGTTTCTTTTAGTCACTCTCTAAATCAGGTTTTATATCAACACTTAACACCCAGTTGAATGTAATAACCTCATAATAGAATATTAATATTAATCTATAATCTCAATGTTTCATCATCTATGTCAGTACATTTTTATTGAATTGTGGATGAACTGAAAGTCATTTTACATTGTTCCTGTTTTTTATTTTAGAGATTTTTTGGGTGTAAATTCAGAAACTATAAAAAATTTATATTATCAGAGATCAGTATTAGGATGGCAAGCAGGATATAATTATACTTTTGCTCTCTATAATAAAGGTAAATATGACAGTTACATTTCCTAGATATTATCTGCCTTTTTTTTTCTATGATTCTGCCACACTTAGGTAAGACATTTTTGTAGGAATTATGTGATTTTCGTACATTCCTAGTACTTCTGAAGACTATTTACATATATTCAAGAGTTAATGGACCGCCAAAATGGCGCATCTGTCCCTTTAAGTTACAAAAGG